TGTGCACCAGCGACTCAGTTGAACGCTTGGCAGAGTTGTACATTAGAGAAATAGTCCGACTTTATGGAGTCCCTGTGACTATTGTGTCGGATAGGGATCCTCGTTTTATTGCCCGGTTATGGAAAAGCCTTCAAGTGGCGTTGGGAACTAAGTTGACCCTTAGCACCACTTATCATCCTCAAACCGATGGACAGTCAAAATATACCATTCAGATTTTGGAGGACATACTTAGAGCTTGTGTCCTTGATTTTAAGGGGCCTTGGGAAAGGCACTTACCATTGATTGAGTTTGCTTACAACAATAGTTATCAAGCTAGTATTGGGATGGCATCATTTGAGGCCTTGTATGGCCGACCTTGTAGATCACCGGTTTGTTAGGCCGAAGTGGGTGATGCATTGTTACTGGGTCTGGAAATTGTTAGAGAGACAACTGAGAAAGTTGTTCTCATTCGGAAGAGGTTAGCTACGGCCCAAAGCTGACAAAAGAGTTATGCTGATAAGAAGAGACGACCTTTATCTTTTGAAGTTGGTGACCATGTGTTTCTAAAAATCTCACCAAGACGGGGTTTGATGAGATTTGGTAAGAGTGGTAAATTATCTCCAAGGTTTATTGGGCTTTTTGAGATGTTAGAGCGAATTGGAGAAGTGGCATACCCGTTAGCTTTACCGCCATAACTTTCGGGAGTTCACAACGTATTTCATGTATCTATGCTTAGGAAGAATGAACCCGACCCTTCTCATGTTCTTGATTGGGTTGACTTGGAGGTAGATGAGGATGCCTCTTACGAAGAACGACCAGTTCAAATATTAGATACCCGGGAGCAAGTGCTACGGGGCAAAACTATACCGTTGGTAAAGGTGTTGTGGAGACACCATGCGGTTGAGGAAGCAACGTGGGAACGGGAGGCAGAAGTCCACTCCAAATATTCAGAATTGTTTGAAAATGTTTAAGTTACTTTTCGTTGTAATATTCCGTTGTGTTTAAGGGAAATGTATATAGATTGTTAAATACACGTTATGTATGTTTTTATTTTAAGCATGAAGTTGTTATGGGTTATCATTACCTTTGGAAGAACTTCATGTTGATGAGTAATTGAGAGGTTGTTGATAATGAGGTAACCATGATGTAATGGTGAGATTTAGTTGAGAGCTAATGTTGTGATTTGGAAATGGAAAAGCGTGGTTTTGATCGCTTGAAAAATCTTTATTCGGGTAGTTTGATTTAATTTCGAGGATGAAATTTCCTAAGGTGGGGAGGTTCTAGCATTTGTGTCCTTCAAAGCTTTTGGGAAAGTGTATTCAAATCCTTTATTTTTATTTGGGAAATCTTTGGTGTTGTTATGGGTTGGTTTTGGAGGAGTATAATCCAATTTAAACTTGTTGGGTTTGGTTGTTCACACTTGTTCTTGTCAAAAGTCCCTTGGAAACTTAGAAATTCTATTTTAGGGTCGACACCAACCTTCTTAAGGGTCGACCCTTACCTATTGGTGAAATTTTGGGAGTGTTGCTGGAAAATAGGGTAGACACCAGACCGGGAGAGGGTCGACCCTCTTATGTCTGTGTGTTAGTTGCTGGAAAATAGGGTCGACCCCCTCCTGTCTAAGGGTCGACCCTCTTGCATGTTGTCAAACATAAGTTTCTTCATAGGGTCGACCACTGTGTTGAAAGGGTCGACCCCTGCAGACTTTTTTTTCCTGATTTCAGTCCGTTTTGGGCCTACTTTTTGGGGATTTTGACGTGGTCTTTTGGGTTGACTTTGGGACTTCATTTTACTTTGACCTAGCACTATAAATAGGTCCCTCACTTAACCTCTTCTTTACCTTTCCTTCTCTTTTTCTTTCTCCAAGCCGTGAGACTCTTCCGTTCTCTCCAAAATCACTTTTTTGCTCAAAGATCTTTAGATCTACTCACTTGGAAGCATCTTCTTGCCTTGCTCCTTTGAGATTAAGTGTAAATCTTGTCAAGAGCTTTGTTTTGATCCAAGTAGAAGTTGGTTTTGACATCTTTGGAATTTCAACCTTGTTTTGCTCATCTTCTCTTTAAGCTTGAGGTAGGGATTTTCTTTGAGTTATATATATGTTTTTGCAAGATCTAGATGATTTTCGAAATCATCCTTTGATTAGTTTTAAAAATTGATTGTTGATTTAAGAAGATGAGTGATTTTGAAAGTGGGTTTACTTCATTTTCCTTTAAAAATAGAAATTGAGGGTTTTTAAACTACGTTGATGAAAGAAAGATGTTTTTGGTGAGACCTTCTCAAATATTTGAAGATGAATGGTTTTTGGTGAGAAAACTTAGAAATTGGGGATTTTTTAAAGATGTTGAAAATCTTTAGAAGATGTTGTTATATTTATTTTGTGTGCCAAAATAAAAGATGTTTGAAAATTGTTTATTTATTACATATAAATGATGGTTTTCCATGGAATAAGATAACTGTTGAAGTTTTGGAAATTGTTGTTTAAAAGTGTTGATATAGTCTTGAAATGATTAAGTTGTTGGAAATGTTTGAAATGCGGTAATTTCGTTATCCCTTGGATGAATTGAAATAAAAGTATTTATTCATCTTGTGAAATTGCATTGAAGTGAGAAATGAGAATTTTGATCACAATGGGAATATTGTGTGGGAGTATTGAAAGTGGAAGAAATATTGCATTGCATTATTAATCATTGCATTGGCATATCAATTCATTTGATTACACTGAACTTTGAAAGTTGATTTGAAAACTTGCATTGAGAAAGGAATGTTGAGAAATAAGTTTTCATGAAATAGTTTTGGGGTAAATACAGTGGTAAGTCTTGAAAGGTAGTGTAGAGAATAGGTGTCGAGCCTTCCAGTCAATACTGGTAAAAATGACAGATTATGGGTGTCAAGCCCTCCAGTTGATACTGGTAAAAATGACAAATTGGTAGTACTTGTATAGTCTCCTTGCAAAAGCTGACCTAGGGATTACCAGAGTTGTATTTGCCGCCCCTCGAATAAAATTTGATAAATGTTGAGCAGTTGAAATTGCATGACATCATTGAGCATGATGGTTTTCAAAAGATGAAGGTGTGTTTTACTTTCAAAAAGGCATGGCATGGCATAAGCATTCCATCTCACGAGACTTGTATAAAATATATATACTTTGTTAAGAATTTTCTACTGGGCTTTATGCTCACTCTACGGGATTTTTGTGCAAGAAAAGATGTGGTGTTTTCGCCTAACTGAAGGTGTGGAAGTGTGTGTTGAGAGCATAATGTGCTCATTTGCTGTGACTCTGATTGTAAGCCAAGAGCTTTGTATGTGTGGGTTTGAATAACCGTTTTGTGTAACCAGGCTCAAGCCTTGGAAACTTGTAACCCTTGGGAGTATTTGTTGTTTAATTAATTGTTATTAGATTAACTGTATTATCGCATGATGTCACGCCCCCAAAATAATACAATAAAGATAACTCATATGCGGAATAAATATGAGAAACAACATACTTTCATATATCAGAGTTCACTATTTAACAACCAGTTAAATGTCATGTGGGCTTACATGTTTCCAAGTCATTGCTTGGTTACACAAATTGAGTCTCGCTCATTACATCTTAAGCCCTTGGCTTTACAAATAACAAACATACACACATAAGGCATAATTAAGAAGCTATTGCTTCCCAAAACTTCATCCATGCTATTACCTTGGAGAAAGCATCTCACCAGTACCTGAAAATGGTATTTCCATATAGGGTGAGCTAACAGCCCAGTAGAAATAATCTAACACAATTTTTGAGGTTTAGCAAAGGTATAAATACCACGTACATAAACAATACCGATCCTAAAACATCCACAAGACCTGCATATCCATATGCCACTAAGACCAACCTTATTCCATTTTCCTTTAATTTCATTTCCAGTTCATATATGCTACTCAATTCATGAGTTAAATTCGTTATCTTTCAACAATCAAAATGAAACTACAACTCAATGATTTTCCAATTATGCAAAACTCACATAAACACTTCAAACCTGCCATTTTACGGATATTTCGTCCGAAGGAATCGGCACCCATTTATATATAAAATTTCGGGTCTTTCACCCAGGACACTCCAGCCAACTTGCTTTAAATGGATTCCATCCCATTTCTCATCCCAAACAAATATACATATGCAATGTATTTATAAACATAATCACATATGGAGTACATCCCCTTTCTCCTCCCAATAAACATACATATACAATGTATCTATAACATGGTCATATTCAATGACACCAACAATGGATTAGCATTAAATCGCCAAATCTTCATGTAATTTCTACAACAATCATAGCTATCCTCCACCGATAGCCCAATTCAATTATTTCTAAAGAGATGTTCAATATCAAAGTAAATAGTTTATTCAAAACTTCCACAGATGAGATAATACATATCCAATATCACCATTTATAATCACAACCTCCCAATTTCACATTTTCAATGTTAATCCCAATTATTTATGCAAAACAATAATTTAATCAAAATTAGGGCAGAATCCCTCTTTCACCAAATATCAACCCAAACACCAAAATCAACTATTTTGGCACAACATGATCTTATATTCAAGCCTCATACTCGTTTACCTCATATTCATCAAAACCCATCTTTTCATTTCACACCCAAATCCTAGATTTGTCCAAACCACAACCAAATCCCATCATCTATACATAATAGCAAATAATTAAGCTAAAAACCATATTAGAGTGTAGAAAATCCCTACCTCAAGCTAGAAGAGGAAACAAACCAATAATCCAAATTTTCAATTTTGCTGAATTTTGATCTCCACCGATCAAAATGTTGCTCTTACCAAGCTCTTCACAATGATAACTACAAGTTTAGTTCACATTTGCTTGTCCAATCCAATCACACAACAAAAAAATAATGAACATTATAGAAATTTCTGCCAAAACTTTATAATTGCTAACCTGCTTTCGGGTTAAGGGTTGATGTGTCTCCAAAATTGCACATGGATCAGTGCTAAGCCACATATTGCTGATAGACAATCACAACTCTTTCTCACTCTCGAGTTGCGCTTCAGTGGCTGCCTTTTCTACTTCTTCCAGAACAAATATTTTAAGTGACTCCACATCTCTCGGTCCTTGGTACTTTACGACTTCTTCTCCGTTATAAAAGAGCTTGAATGTAGGATATGAATGAATATCAACTTTGTTGCAAACTGGTTTATCTGTACTGCAATCAACTCGTCCAATCTCTATCTCATCCTCCCCTTCCATTGTCTTCCCCAAGTCTTTCCATAATGATCCCAACTTTTTACAATGCTTACACCAAGGAATACAAAATTGCACAAACCATGCAGTGTCTTTCTTCTTCACCTTGTCGTTGAATGTATCAGCGGTTAGGGTTATGAGTTCAGATTCAATAGTTAATAGATTCGATACAACAACAACAACAACAACAACAAGTGATATTAGAATCACAGAACAGCGGTGGTGGTGGTGTTTCATCGCAGCTCTTCTTCTTCTCATTTCTCTTTCAATGATGTTTCCGGGTTTGACATCGGAGCTGCGGAACTTGGCACCGCGGAGTTGCGTGACGGACCATGGAGGCTCGAAGACGGTCCCGAATGCATGATTGTGAGATTGGATCGGAGGGTATGATCGCCGCCAATGATGAGAGGGTATCCAGGTTCCAATCTGTGGAGATCGAAGCCATGCCCGACCCGGAAAAGCAGAGAATTGGGCAGAGTAGCAGCGGTCTTCTTCGGCTCAGCTTCCATAACAGCACTCGCGGTTTCAGCCACCACTACCACCGCCATGACCACGTTGCTGATCTGCTGATAAACCCTTATTATTATTTCGCATCACTTTCTATGTAACGCCCTCATAATAATACATAATCTCAGCATCCAACCTTTCTATATACATGATAGGTAAATCTCATTTCCATACACACATCAGAGTCAATGTTACAAAGGAGTAGTTCATATAAGTTACAAATGTTTACAAAGGTGATAGAATGCCCTGCGGGCTTACATCTTTCCAAGTTGTTACTTGGTTACACAAAAGAGGAGTTCTAACTCTTTTACAAGTAAAGCCCTCGGCTTACATTTACATGTAATCAACAAAACAAATAACAAAGCAGAGTCTTCAACTCCTAAACCTCCCAAGCAAAGATCTTGAACTTGGCACGTCTTCTGAACCTGAAAATGGTGTCCCAAGTAGGGTGAGCCAAAGCCCAGCAGAGATATACTAAACCCAATATGAGAAGTAACTAAAACATTATCATTCGACAAATGATTAACACGTCGCGCAGAACCTACCACACCCTTCTCATAGCCCAACAACAATTATCTATCGACGTGATAAGTCCACTCCCCTTATTTATCCAATCCATGTCCAATCTGATTCATTACTAACAAACAACTTAAATGAGACGCAACTCGACCCATTAACATCCCGTTATCCATAATTCAAATGAGACTAATAAACTCCTGTAATTAAACATTTCAAATGTCAACTTCATCATGTACTCAATTTATA